AAGTAAGGCCCACAGGCTGGGGTAAGAGGAAGGCAGTGCCTGGGTACCGGGGGAGGCTCTGCCTGCCTGGCTCCTGGTCTATAGTCAGAACTTCTGATCTGTTTAATTCTTTTTTATCAGATAACAACAATGCCTTATACCAGCAATACTGTTATATCTGTAACCAGAATATAAAGGTTGAAGGCATAAATGTTCATTCCCAGCATTGCTTCTAATTATGCAGCAAGGGCAAATCCACCGTGCTTACTAAAGGGCTCTGCTGCCCAGCCTCCAAGTGTGTCTTGCCCAACAGAGCAGGATATCAGTCTCATTTGGGTAACCGACTGCATTCTCAACCATCATAGGAAAAAGGTTTGATTAAAAACAATTCAGATACAATTGAGACATCTGCATGCCATATCAAGAAGCAGCCAGACATTAAGTTTAGAGCTGAGAAAAGTAAAGGAGATTCTCCCAGGGAACGCTGTTTATCAAGTAAATACTGCTTTAAGAGATCCTACGTAACGTCAGATCTGGTGAATGACAGGCTCAATAGGCACCTGCTCCAGGATAAGTAACAGTAACGGAAACTCCATGATCAGTAACTGAATAACTGAGAAAAACTGTCCTAGAACATATTACACCAACATTAGCAGACCACTGGCAATGATAAGGAAGAAGCTGCTCTTCTGTCTTTGTTTACCAAACTGTTCACGCTATCTTTAAAACGATGGCAAACACACTGCCAGCCACAGTGCAGTTCTACATAACGTCTGTAGAACACTGACAACACCAGAAAGGAACTTAGTACACCAGTTCTTTTTTTTAAAATAGATTTTATTGATTTTTTACAGAGAGGAAGGGAGAGAGATAGTTAGAAACATCGATGAAAGAGAAACATCGATCAGCTGCCTCCTGCACATTTCCCACTGGGGATGAGTCCGCAACCCAGGTACATGCCCTTGACCGGAATCGAACCTGGGACCTTTCAGTCCGCAGGCCGACGCTCTATCCACTGAGCCAAACTGGTTTCGGCAGTACACCAGTTCTTTACAAGCTGCTTAACAGTAATGCCCCAGGGGTCCACTTCAGGACATCAATTTAAGCTTCTACAAGACACCCCAGGAGCATGCTGCAGACTTGGACATCAGCACAATGATGCGTGGATATGATAATGACATTAACCAATGGTGGCCGGCTTAGCAGGTCACAAAAACAGTACTAACCATAGTGATAAGTGATCATACTAAGTGCTGAAAAATATGTGACAAAAAATGTTGGACAACACATTTGAAAATATTCCTCAAAATAAGCACTTTTGCAAAAAGTGCTTTTAGAACACTTTTAGAAAACTTGCTGGCATAATGATACACTGGCCACCGATGAGGAAGCAGGCACAGAAGTGTTTTCCCCCCGGTTCTAAACTATTAGGAAAAGAAGTTACAGAAAAGGCACCTACATTTGGTCTATCTTTCTAGCAACTGCCATCTTCCAAAGAAATCTCTTAAGTACTGATCGGGGAAAAGTCAAATTATAGGACATAATTAAAATTCTCTAGTAGGCCAGAATTGCAATGAATTATTATAGAAACCTTTTCCTTTGGAGAGGAAAGATCCAGGAAGAAGTTAATATAAACCTCTAGGCAGAAGATTCTGCCAGGAAAATGACTTCTAGTGTTACAAACATAAGGCAGATGTTCCAAAAGAAATTTAAAACGTAATTCGACATGAAACCTTCCAGCCTTTACCTGTGTACACATAAGACAACAGTCACAAAATGCACTTTTAAAATCATTTCTGCTACCATGTAAAAATCACATTTCTTCTAGGCCATTAAGATAAAAAAAGTGATCTGTGACCTAGCAGAAATGTCAACGTTTCAAAAATTAACTTCTCAAACAACTGCTTTTAAAAATATATTTTATTAATTTTTTACAGAGAGGAAGGGAGAGGGATAGAGAGTTGGAAACATCGATGATAGAGAAACATGGATCAGCTGCCTCCTGCACATCTCTTACTGGGGATGTGCCCGCAACCAAGGTACATGCCCTTGACCGGAATCGAACCTGGGACCTTTCAGTCCGCAGGCTGATGCTCTATCCACTGAGCCAAACCAGTTTCGGCAACAACTGCTTTTAAACAATGAATGGGGAAGAGTGACGTCACAGGAATGGTGGCATGCGAGAGCCCCTTGTCCTCTCCCCCTGAAATGTCAACAAGTTA